GTGATAACCCGCTGTAGTTCTGAGTTGCATTTTCCTGATGATTAGCTGTAGCTGAGCCTCTTTCATATGCTTGTTGGCCTATGTTCGTCTTCTTCTGAGAAACGTTTACTCGAGTTCTTTGCCTGGTTTTTGTGGTTGAGCGGTAGGAGTTCTTTATATTTCTTTTATATATTTTGGGTTATTAACCTCTTATCACGTACTGGTTTTCAAATATTTTCTCCCACTCATGCCTCTTCACTCCATTTATCGGCTCCTTTGTTATGCATACGTTTTTAAGCTTGAGAGAGTCCCATCTGTCTACTTTTGCCTTTCTTGTTTGTGTTTTTGGTGTCCTATTGAAGAAACCATTTCCACATTCAATGTCATGAAGATTTTCCCCCATGTTTTTCTCAAGGAGTTTTATAATTTCAGCTGTTCTGTTTAGTCTTTAACCCATTATGAATTAAGTCTGGTACACAGGGTAAAGTAGGGCTTTGCACACGGATATCTAGTAGTCCCAAATCACTTGTTGAAGAGACTGTACTTTCCCTATTTTTGTACTGCGTAGCCCTGGCACACTTGTAGACCCTTTGAACGTGTGCCAGTGAGGGTTCATGTCTGGGCTCTCTACTCCGCTGCACTGATCTGTACGTCTGTCTTTATCCCAGTCCATGTTGTTTTGATTACTGTAGCTTTGTAACAGGTTTTGAAGTCAGGAAGTGTGAGGCCTCCAGCTTTGTTTTTCTTTGAAGACTGTTTTGACTTTAAGCGTCCTTTAAGGCTTCCCATATGAATTCTGGATGGGTTTTCTTCCCTATGTCATCAAACACTGCTACTGAGGTTTTGACAGAGACGAAACTGAACCTGTAGACGACTCTGGATAGAATGACCATTTTAACAGTAGTAAGTCTTCCAATCCATAAGCACAGGGTATCTTTCCATTTATTTGTATCTTCTTTAATTTCTTTCCGTAATATTTTACAGTTTTCAGCTTACAAGTCTTTGAGCCCCCTTCGTTAAACCGATTTCTAAGTATTTTACCCTTTTTGATGCTATTGCAAATGGGATTCTTTTGTTAGGTTTCTTTCATTGTTCACAGGATACAGAAACGCAACTGGTTTCTACATGTTGATCTTGTATCTGCACATCTGCTGCATTTATTAGTTCTAGCAAGGTTTTTTGTTGTTGCTGTTCTTTAATCTTTACGGTTTTCTGTCCATAAGATCACGTTATCTGTGATCAGAGATAATTTGACCTCTTCCTTTCCCAGCTGGATGCCTTTTATTTCTTTTTCTTGCCTAACTACTCTGGCCAGGATTTCTAACACTACGTGGGGTACAAGTGGCTAGACAAGCCATCCTTGTCTGGTTCCTGATCCTAGAGAAAAAGCTCTTAGTTTTTTACCACTGGGTGTGAGGTTAGCTGCAGGCTTGCTATATACGGCCTTTATGAGGTTAAAGTATGACCCTTGTTTCCCTAGTTTGCTGAGCGTTCTTAACATGGGCAGGTGTTGAATTTTCTCAAATGCTTTTTCTGTATCCACAGACATGATCCTATGGTGTTTGAACCTCATCCAGACCAAAACCTTTTAAAGTCAAACTGGTTTTTGTTTCTTTAATAAGAACGATGATCTGTATACCCGACACAATCTTATTCTCTTCTTCAGAGACTAGAAAGTATAGACTTTCAGAGCTGGTAGATGTCAACTAATCCAAGTGAGACCCAAAAAGATTCGATGAGACTTGCTCAATATTACAACACAAGTTATCAGAAGGGCTGACACTAGGTACCTTAGGGGAAAAGAGATAATTTCTGTATTGCTGTCTTTCCGTAAACTTACATACAATTTATCCTACAGAAATACTCTAAAAACTGTGAAGATATGTGTCTGTTGGCGGGCATACACATACAAAAAAGGTAGGTTCATCAAAGTATCATGACAGTGAAATAATGGGAACAATCGAAGCTATCAGATTTAGAGAACTGGCAGATTATGGGATACGCTTACAAAGAGTCTGTGGAGCACCTCTTAAGCATGATGTAAAAGTATACTTTACCGGACATGTTTGTAATTCGTTAAGTGAAACAAGTTACAAAACCACATATACAATTGTGATTCCATTTCAAGAGTAACGTGTGCGTATCTACTCACTTCAAAAATCTAGGGTACACAAAGTGTTAACAGTGCTTTCCTAACAATTCTTAACTGATGCATACTTATCTATATTTTCTAAGTTCTTCACAGAGTATACATATTCCCCATGTATATTAATAAAAAACCTAATATTAAGTAATATACCAAACTCTCATGGATGTCTTCAAAACAAACAGGCGGAGTTTGTAAACCGTGTTTAATTACTCATGTGTATGGGTATTGGTCACTGTGTATGAGGATCAGCTGGGCTCACAGATGGGCCTTCCTCCATGTACCCAAAGCAGTTCACGAGCTGGATTCCCGAGTTCCATTCAGTCCCTGACCAACAGTCTTGGGCATCTTCTACATTTTCAGGATTAATCTAATACATCAACCCCCAAACTTATGGGAGGTACTTCCCATCGTCTTCACTTACAGAAGAGAACAATGAGTAATCTGCTTTGATTACCTGTGTCCACTACCTAAAACACCTCCCTTCCTAATAAATGCATCTGTGCCCCAAAGAAAAGCAAAAATATAATCATTTAAAAATCTAAGTTCTTTTCATGAACATTTCAGTTCAACCATCAGTTGGGGCCTGACATCTGTGCAGGCAGGGGAGAGGGGAAGCCTGCAAAGAGCATGTCTGTATGATAGACAATTGTATGTATGGTGGGGGCTGGGGGGGAGAAGATTGGTTACCTACAGGGTCACTGAACAATTAAATATAGAAGGATAACGGGAACCAATTTTTACTTTCTGAGCAGGAAACTACAAATACTAAGGAGACAACTAGAATGAACCCTGTGGTGTTGGCTGAAATTGGGGACATGATGGTGAATTTGTGGTTGTTCAATACGGAAAGATCAACAGGCAAGAGAGACAGGTACAGATGTTAGCTTACACCCCAGCTCTGCTCACTCAGGGGGCTCAAGAACAGAGACCTCTCCAGAGCAGAGTGCATACCTTTAGCAAAGCCTTGTTTTCTAAGCCTCATTCTCCTCCTCAGAGGAGCCAGGTCTCCCTGGAGAGATGGCGGGGCCAGAGTGGGGCAAGACAAGTGGAAGATGGGAAAATGGGCCCGAACACCTGGGGGTGCCAGAAAGAAACGCTCAAGACTGACGGGGCGTGTCACGAGACACAGGCACCAGCGAGAAGGCCTCCTGCTGGCCAAATCGGGGATAATCTGCACCTAAAACTAAGTCAAAATGGCAAAAGATCATAACCCCACTGACCAAAACAAAACCAAAAAACCCCAAAAACCCCAAAAAACCTTGAGTCCACACTGAGATTTAGAAAATGAAGAATATTAGAAGTCTGATGAAGAATGGGTGTCTTTGCCATTTAATATCTCACACCAAACACTTATAAATTATAAATGAGCAAACACAGAGCACAAGAGTGAAGAAGTCTGGGAGACATTACCTTAATCAAGGACTCAGGTAACAACACCAGTAACGGGGATGTGTGGAAAAGGGTTAACCGAGCAGCCTCAGACTATCTTCAGAACGACCTGCTTGCAAGGGCGACCCTTGGTTAACATATGAGAACTTGGACTTAAGGAATGTCCCTACGTGATAAGGGCGTCTCAACACGCCTACACTGTCTGAACAAACAATATCGCATATGCTCAACACCTACTTTCCTTCTGAGCATCTGGAATTCTGGTCCATGCTAGGCAGAGGGCGCCTAGCCTTCAGTTTAAAACATGGGACGTGGAGTCCGTAACGAGCCTCCCTAGCACAGAACACTTCTCCCATGTCCCACTTGACGCTAAGGGACTGAAGCAGGCCTTGGGTGACTCCATGGGCCTCGACTTTCGGACGTTCTCCTGGATTTCCGCTTTGCCGCCTTCCCGTGATGCATCTCAGCTGGGAGCATGACTATACACGCTGAGTCCTGTGAGTCCTTCTAGGGAGTTCAGGAGTGGTCGCAGGGAACCTTCCCCCCCCACCCCCACCCCCCATGAGACATATCAGCATCCTGTGTCATGTGAGAGGATACAATGAGAAGGACAGAACATCACGTCTGTGAGAGTCCGCCCAGCATACATGACCTGCACCTACTCAGGAGAAAACGCGAGATGCTCCCAAAGAGACCAGTGTATGAAATAACTCATCTATAATTTCCGAAAGGGTCAAAGTTTTTCAAGTCAAGAAGAGGCTAAAGAGCTGTTCCGAATGTAAAGACTAAAGAGACACAAATACTAAATGTCATGTGTGTTTCTGGACCGGATCCTTTGTTCTGTAAAGGATCCTTTGTTTTATCTGTGCTGATAAAATCAGGTCTATGAGAACAGTAATGTGTCAACATTACTTTCCCCGTGTGGGGGAATAATGGCCATGGGAAAACGTCCTTGTTGGTAAGGAGACAGCTACTCAAGTGTCCAGGATCATGGGACATTGTACCAGGAATCTTATTTTCAAATGATTTAGGGTAAAAAAGCACTCTTGGCAGTGTTCACACAGCTTTTCTTTGACTTTGAGATTGTTTCGAAATAAGAAGATAACAAGAACTCCACTCCTCGATACCAAATACCAAATAAGAGAAGGTACAAAATCCTCAGTGGAGAGAGCAGACACTAGGGTAGAGTTCCCCCTATGTCTCCCCACCAAGGAAAAAGTGACATTGGCAGGAAAGCTTCAAGGTCAACTATTTTAACCATACGGGCTAGGATTACTAAACAACTCTTACTAAGTAAGGGCAGAAAGTGACCTGGGGTGCAGAGTTGAATATGGTTTATCCGGTAATCACTTAATGTGTCTGAATCACTCAATGATAAAATGAACAAGTCTTACTCAAGGTCAATTTTCAACCATTACTTTCAGCTAGAAAAGCCCATTCATTACCAGAGAATCAAGAAAACATCGTAAAGACTCTCAATTACCGTTTGTGTGCTTCCTGCTTGCTGCGACATTCTTCACAGTAATATTTGTATTCACTGCACAGAGTTTCTGTGTTGCTAAAATCCCTGTGTAAAATTCAAAATAAATTTATTTCGTCTATACCGGAGAACTGTATATTAGTTTAAAAATATTCTAAGCCAAAGCTATGCATTACATTCCAAAATCAATACGTCTACAATGCATTATGTTTCAAAGTCAGTACATCTAGCGTTACCTTAAGCAGTGAGTGATCGATGTGTTTTGTTCCACGTCAACAGAAAGGTCTAAAAAATCTTCGTCTTTGCTGCTTATCTGTAAAAATAGGGAATTACCTTTGATTTCTTTAAAGATCAGTAAATCACTGTTCTGAAAGGATAGGATTAAATTTGTTCTATTGGTCGAAAGTATATGAAGAATCTCCCCCCCGCCCCAACTCACAAGAAATCTACTTGATCTGGATTATCCAACGGGATGCTAAGGAAATGACTCTCATCATGTGTGCAGGTTAAACAGCAAAGTACACCTGTGACTGATTCCCTTACTGGCAAAGGCTATGATGTGAAATCCCATTACTTTGCAAAATCACTGCAAAGCACAAAAACAAACTGCCCATGTACACTAATTCTTAAATACACACACACACACACACACCAACAACACATGCCAAGAATGAATGAGGATGCCTGGCAAAGAGCAGGACACCTGTGTTGTTTTATAATTCAAGGAAATAATTAGGGCCTAAAATGCCAAATTACAATCTTCATTGATGACCTTTTTTAAATCCTTCTCTTAAAAACCTAACATAAAGTTCTGTTTGAATTATGGGTAAGTCATCTGATAAATAATTGATTACTTATTCCTCTGAATAGGATTAGGGAAGAACTTTAGACATCAGTTTTGCTGGCCATTTTCCTTCAATGACTCTCTGCTCAGGGTGAGCATGCATAGATCCGGGCTGTGCCTGTCACCCACCAGGGCTATTCACTCAGTAAATGCTCTCCTGCTTCAAGAGAACACCAGTTTTAATAGCTTGGTAGCATTAACTTGTGACAGACTAGGTAGCTTACACATGTACAGCCACGTATGTCATGTGCTTATGCGAACAGCAGTAAACAGGTGAGCACTGAGCACACAATGGACAGTGATGCCATGAGAGAAGTGATCTGGGCCACAAAAGACTCAGTACAAAAGAGAGAATAAGACACACAACACGCAGAGAGGAAAGGGAACGTGAGGTGCTTAAGGAAAAAGAATCAGCTTAGTCTGGGAGGAAGGGGAGGCGGGTGGCAAGGGACAGAATGACAGGTAGGCTAAAGGGGAATGAAGATGAAAGAGTCTGGTGGTTCTCAAAGTGAGGGGTGTGGGTCTCAGGCTCTGCCTCGGGGGGTCTCCAGTTGACATTTCCATCTTTACGATAAGAAATTTTACATAAGGATGTCCTGGGTCATCTGGCTATATGGGAGTTACTATGTTTGGGTTCACAAGTGTGCTGGTAGCAGGTCATCACGGGAGGGGAGGCAGTATTCAACTTTTAAAAGTGTGTGTAAACACGCCTGGTGGTTGTCGGATCCCACGTTCTAATGTCAGGTCACACCCAGGATGTGGGAGACTCAGTGAAGAAGTCTAGGCTGGCAGCATGGGGGGCGGGGGGGGGGTAATCAGCAGAGGCAGCGATGAAAACGGAGAGCGATCCTCCCAATGCAGAGCAAGAAGCAGCCTGAAATGACACCCTGGAGGACACCAGTGTTTGAAGACTAAACAGTAGGAAAGGAATGAGGCCAAGAAGAAACCATCAGAGAAGAGGAGAGAACACAAGAGGGTGTTGTTACAGGGACCCAGCCTCCTAACCCAACGGGGATGTGACCCATTACTAAAATCTACCATAACGCGGCTCCTCTGAGACGCCCACTCCTACCTGAGAGGTCGGGTCTCCTTCTTGGACTCACGTGGACTCTTGGGCTTACCTGAGCCAGAACATACTGGACCGGAAGTGCCTATCTGTTATCAGTCTCTGCTCCTCTATGAGCAGCTGCGCATCAGACTCTCTACGTTTACTCACCTTCTGCCAACCTCTACCCATCTTCTACCTGGCCCAGGTGGCACTGAAATGTGTACGCAAAACGAACGAAATGCTATATATTCACTCTTGAGAAATTCTCAATTTCATCCCTCTAGCTGAGCTTGATAAAGTCACGGTACTAACGATCATTTACTGAGCTTGCAAGAGAATAACTGAGATTCTGAGGAAACAGTCCCAATTCATACCTTTAATTCTTGGGAAACTATCTGCAAATATACACTGCAAGCCACGGGAGGACCTAGCAAAGACTGGGTGAAGGGTCACTTCCCACCCGTTACAAATAAAATTAATAAGTAGCTGAGCAAACAAGGATGGGTGACGCTACTTTCTCCTTCAAAAACATTTAATCCTCACCCCCTATCATCCCCAGTCTATAACATAAGCCTCCAAGGCCCTACATCACAGCATCCCAAATACCTCCACAGGGTCCCAAATCTACTCTGCTGGCCTCGCTGATATTACATTTCTCAACATGCTAAGCAAATTTAACTATTTTCTGTTGCATTGAAGGGGATGAATTATACAGATCTTCTAACACAGACCAAATTCCGCCATACCAAACACCAAGCAACTGACGAATTCTTTGATTATACCCACTCTTCCCAATTAAAATACTGCTCTAATACCCGGACAGTGTATTTCCTAAAGCTTGGAAGTCGGCTACCATAGAATTTTTCTTTGTAAGACGTATCTATACAACTCATGTTAAAATAGCTGGAGTTGCATAGATTGACTAAAGATGCGTACCAAGACCAATTCCTGCCATCAGACATTGCCCAGTTGAGCTCTTACTGCACCTAACTGATAGCTACAGCAATGAACAATAACCCTAACTCTAACCCCAAAATATCTACACAGAATGTTAATGTATTCAAGCATTCGGTTACACCTCTTACACTTGATATGGAAGAGGCTCACCAATAAAAATGTATTCACAAAAGAGAATTTTATTTATTACTGCTATGCCCTTCATGAACTAAAATGACACCACTGACAATGGTCATTCTGCAACTCTCTGGTTATCGTTAAAAAGATCAATGCATAATCAACAGTCAGCAGATCACTCATCGCTATAGGTTACGGTTCCATTTAAAGATCCTATCTTTTTATTCATGGCTGAATCAAAAGGATCACTATTTGCTTTAAGAGAAAGAAAGGAACCACAGTACATTAGCACCAAAACAAAAAAACACCCCATACTTAGGTATGTACACCTAACAAAATATGTACAAGATCAACATGAGGAAAACTAAAAGACGATTTCTTTCTACGGAAAAAATCAAAGAAGATGTGAATAAATGATAGTCCATGTAAACAGACTGTGGGACGCCATATTGTCAAAATGTCAGTTCTTCCCAACTTGATCTATAGAGTCAATGCAATCCCATTCAAAATCACAGCACATTACTTTATGGATACTAAATCAGTTCCTAAATCTTGTGTGATTCTACAGTTTACACAGGGAGACAAGAGGCCCAGGGAAGGCAAAGTGATAATCATCACAACTTGGGGACAAACCTAGATATCCTTCAGGAAGTGAACAGATGAATGGAAAGATTTCCACACAATGAAACAGAATTCCGTGATAAAAAGAAATGGGCTACCAGGCTGCAGAAAGACATGGAGGCACCTTAATTGCATGGTGCTAAGTGAAAGAAGACAGTCTGAAAAGGCCTCACATCTACAATTCCAACTGCACACGTCGCTCTAGAAAAGTCAAAGCTATGGAGGCAGTAAAATGATGAGTGGGTGCCAGGGAGGGATCTGGAGAGGAAGGAGGGATGAATGTGTGGAGCACAGGGGATTTTCAGGGCAGGGAAACTACTCTGTCTCATACTGTGATGAAAGCTATGGGTCATTATACGTTTGTCAAAATGAACAGAACCACAGAACAGATAATACCAAGAGGGAACTCAAGTCTGAACCACAGAATCAGCTAACGATGTACCAGTGTTGGTCATGAGCTGCAACAAAGGCATCTCATGAATGTAAGATGTTAACAACAGGGAAGGGTGGGGGAGAGGAGGTATGTGGGAACTTTCTGTACTTTCCACTACATTTTTCTGAAATCTATTAATTAAGAGGAAGCCATTTCCTTATTAGCCTCTGCCAGTGTACGTTCATCTGATTTAGTCAACCAAGTAAATATGTTACCCTTCCAAACATCCATAAAACATCTCCTCTTTCCTTGCTGTGGACGCTCTTTTCAAATGGACAATACTCCTCTCCTATGCTATTAAAAACTAGTCACGCAACCATCATACTGAAGACTGAATCAGGCAAAAATAAAAATCCTCAGTGGGTGCTAAATCTTGGGGGAGGATGTTGATGAAGAACAAGATACCTGTGTCTCCCCACAGACTGCCCACCGGTTACAAGGGCGTAAGAGCCGATTGTTATCAAGAGGAGAAACTGAACAACAATTTGAACAGGAGATCAAAATGACCTTCCCCAGTGAGAGGCAGACGGACATTGTGTGCCCAGACAGGACACCCTGAGAAGGACACAACATTAACTGAACCACTCCAGCCGAGAATGTACCTGCGTTTAATTGGAAGGAAACATCAGACAAATTCAGTATGAGAAATGTTCGACTTTTTTTTTTTTTTTTAAAGGAGGACATATCTTCTTTTAAAATGTAAATGTCATAAAAGACCAAAAAAACCTATGGAAACGTTCCAGATTAAACGAGGCTAGAGAAAACATGACAGCTAAATGAAATGCAAACTGCTCAACTCTAAACTAGATTCCATTCGAGGGGGAAGAAATGCTGTAAAGGACACTGTTGGCTCAACTGGCAAAACTGAATAATGGGTGCTGGATTCAGTAAGAGTTTGAGCTTTCATTCCTCAGGTGAGAAATTAGGTAACAATATAATGATATAACCAAAGGACTGGGTTATCTGATCCCTTCTTCAAGCTTCTTCCCTGCTGCTCTTCTTTACAAAGTATCCAGCAAGCAGGTGCTTTTCCCTTGTCCAGTGTACGAAGTATGCTTTAGTTTTTATTCCAACAATAAACGTAATTGTAGAGAACGGAGAAACAAATTAATGTGCCTCCCTGGCCCTACGTTTCTTAGGAGCTTAACTAACACATAAGACGTATAATTTCCAGAACATGGCTCTATGGCCTCTTACTGAAACAAAATCAAATACAGTCGATCCTTGAACAATGGAGAAGGGGGTAAGGGGCACCGAACTCCCCAACCCATCACCACCACCATCACCACCACCACCACCACCACCACCACCACCACCCCCGCTGCGGTTGAAATCTGCGTTTAACTTTTGACTCCTCAATAAGCTAAGTACTTACTAACGGCCTGCTACTGACCAGAAGCCTTACTGATAACATAAACACTTAATTCACATATGTTTTGTATCGTAATGTGCAGTACAATAAAGTGAGCTAGAGGAAAGAAAATGTTATGAAGAAAATACATTTACGGTACTGTATCCAACAAGAAATCCACAAATGGGTGGAGCCCCAAGGTTCGAACCCTATTGTTCAAGTTGGGTCAACTATGGTCCAAGAGACTGCAGGAAGTGCTCTTCTGCCATCTCAGGTAGTCACTGTTAACCAGCAGCATTATGCAAAAGTGTAGACAGAGTCCTTTCAATCGGCAGGTACATCTTTAATATTCACTTATCCTACGACTTGAGAAATCCCAACCCCACATTCATCTCTCACACGCATCCTCAAAGAACTCCGGATAAAAATGAAGTAAATCTGCTCTATGTAAAACTGTATGCCGTACTTACAGTTTCACAAGTAAGACATCTGGTTTCATTTGTTAATGTTCCCTGAAAAATCTCGTGAACCCACGTCGGGTCTGGTGTGCTGCTGTTATTTTCACTGTCGATATTCCCATTAGGTAAACGGCCATTTTGCTTTTCCTGCTTTCTCTCTTCTTGTAAAATATCAGCAATTGTGTTTAGTAGGTAATTTAAGAATTCATGGGCATCTTGCTGCATGTAGTTGTCAAAAAGTTCTAAAGATAAAAACAGAGAAATATAATCTTTCAGAATTAAGGGCTTCATTAGAAGTAAATTTAAAACGAGTATCTGGTATTCTGTCAGAACAAAGTACAAATACCTGGTACTATGGGTCATACACAAGAAAGAGATGATCTTTTCACATATAAAAATAGGACTAAATCTGGAGAAGACAGTTAGGATGAGAATCTTTCTTTTACAGAAACGAGACTAACTGATCCATGAGAAAAGAACGAAACCTTCCTCATACATGTACACAGTAGAAGACATCAGAAACCGCTGTTTATTATTATTATCATAGCTCATCTTGTTATTCCACAAACAGTACAACACGGCAAGTTCTAAAACAGAAACTGGACAACCTCTTGCCACTGTGAGGCTAAACGTGTAAGCGCCACACCGCAAGTCTGGTGGCATTAAATCACCCTAGGGGTGAGCATCCCAGGGATTCGGTCGGGAGGGGGGGCTCCTCCAGTGGCTCTGAGCCGCAGCCCCATCCGGGAATCAGTCGTATCACAAATCATCTATCCAAGCCAGATGGTTCCCTAAGGCCCTTCCAAATGTGAGAGGTTCCCTGCAGCGACACAGATGAGTAAGGACAATGGAAATACTGCTCTTCCCTGCGCTAGACATTCCCCAGCGGGAGACGGACAGGCAAGGACTTTACAGGCGGTATCCCCGTGGGCCTTGGAACAGCGCTGTGATGCTGTCAGTGTTATCCTTCAAATGAGGGAACAGGATCAGAGAGGGAAAGTCAGGCTGCGGGGAGTGGCAGGCGCAAGATGCAAACCAGGCAGTCCGGCCCCCCAGGCTGCACACCGACCGAGCAGCCTGTTGTGACCCGCACACGGACACCTGCGGCTTTGTCAGCAAGCACACGGAGCACATTCCCGAGTCAGGAAAATGTTACCTTGATGGATCCTCGAGGAACATTTAGTGGATTCCAGAAAGAGCACAAGTTAACATGTTTTAAATAAAAGAATATAAATTGGGAAGACAACTTAGGGAAAGTCTAAGATAAAATAAAATAGGACATTTTAGAAGAGCTACAGTTATGATTTCATAAAGTTATATGGATTAGAAATCACTGAAAACGTTTACAGAAAACCATAAAACCTAAAAATTATTAACATAAAGAGCTTGAACCAAAGAAAATAAAGTGTGGAAAGGACTGGAAATCAGCAATTTATAGAAACTAAATTCAAAAGGTTAAGAAATACACAAAAATGCTCAACCTCGCGGTTATCAGAAAGGTCTTCATTTGCTGGTCTGTAAAATAGAACACCATCTTCCTTTGCAAAGTTATTATACACACAGAAGGGGAACAAGTGAAAATGTTCACTGGGGAGGTGTATTCAAAGAAAATAAAGAGTGATTTTAATCAAGGCGTCACAGTGACCTTTAAAAAGTCTCAGATTTAAGGTGCAGCTGCTAGAGCGAGACTGTTTGGATTCCTGCGATGGTTCTACCACATAATTACATGTATGTTACAGGCAATTTACTGAACCTCTCTCGGATTTCAAGTCAAACACAACAACATTACGAATGCAGTAAGAGCCACACAGGAAGTATCCCTTTTGATCGCACTTCATTTCTCTGCTGTAAGCCTGTCCTGAGGGATTTCATTGGCCTTAAACGAACCCCTTGCGTTCTTTTTAAGAACAATAAAAGCCCTGAGTCCTAAGATATAGTGCATTAGCCTATGAGGACTTAACATCTACCAATCTGTAATCTGGTGTTTTGAGTGTCCGACGGTTTTCGCCGCGGGTAATCCATACTGCGACACCATTCCCCTCCCCCGCTGCCAGCAGAAGGTGGCGTGCCACGCCCTTCACAGTGACACAGGACCCCCCCCCCCCCACCTCATGTGCAACCTCCTGGCCAGCTCCTCCATCGCCCTGAGACAAAGCCACGTAGCGCTCAGAGACCTTACCTGGTTCTGCCTTCGGACAGGTGGAGGGACGCTGGGATAGCTGAAGTCAATGACCTTTCACCTTGCCTCTCAATGCAGTAACCCTTCATTCCTGAAAATTCCACCCCCAACCCTACTCTCCCACCCTCTATCACGCTCATTCATTTACTGTACCTTATTTCCTTCCTCAACTTTGGGATTCACCCCCATCTTTCTGTGGTTATCTGCCAACTTCCCCCCCCCCCCCCACCTATGGATGGCCTGGTTCATGGCCTGGTTCATGGTCTCTTTGTTCATTGCGACTCCTGCACTAACCTGGACACTTCCAGTGTCCAGGCAGCTTCCTTGACCCCTGAAAAGTTCCCTTTTCATCTCTCACTTACTCATCCATCCCCAGGCCACAAACCTAGACCCACTCAGGTCCACTAAGATAAGAAATAGAAGGAAATTATGCTGGAGTTAATTGGGGGGCTCCAGAAAAGACCCCAACAAACTGGAAAAGTCAGGGAGGCAGCTAAGAGGAAGTAAGTAAAAATATTTTATGAACCCTGCTAAGGACTTAGAGTGAGGTACGAACAATCATTATGGTGGGTCGCTGCATGCTAGCTCAATGCTACAATCTAAGGCGGTCTCTTTTCCACTAAATCAAGTATTTTTTATAACTGAAGTTTTAAAGAGTACATTTTTGCCATAAATATTTGAAATAAACTACAAGGGCGCCTGGGTGGCTCAGTCGGTTGAGTGGCCGCCTCTTGATTTCTGCTCAGGTCATGATCTCAGGATTATGGGATCAAATCCCACATTGGACTTCGAGCTAAGATTAAGATTCTGCTTAAGATTCTCTCTCTCTCTCTCTCTCTTTCTCTCTCTCCTTTTGCCCCCCTCCCCTGCTCCCACACATGCTCTCTCTCAAATTAAAAAATAATTTTTAAAATACACTACAAAATTAAAGAATAAAAAACTCTAAATGAAAAATTTTCTGGTTAAGAAAAATAAGGAAGTCTTTTATTCCATTAAAAATTATTTTAGTATCTATGCATGTTTTTCAAAAGAATTATTTTTTTTTTGTAAAGCAAAATGGGCATGTGTTTTTGTTTTTTAAAAACTTAAAACATCTTTTTTGGATTTTTTTTTTAAACATAGAACAATGACTTCACATTTACAGACATACTTCCACGGACTTCAATGTTCTGGAAATGAGATGTAAGGTAAACCAGAAAATACTCTTTAAGCATTTCGTTGGAAGATTTAAAATAATTCAGTGTCCATTTTCTATAAATACAGCATGCTGTGTATGCCAGAATCTTGCCAGGCCTAAGAGTGGCCAATAGAGCTTTAACACCATCAACTGGGACCACATAAACATCAAAAACAGTATCAACGAAATGGCCACAGGACAATTCCTGGAAATTGTATTACATTAAATTTCTAAAATCTTGTTTTCCCCATGGTTTGCCTTCTTCTCTGCGAAGCAGCATAAAACGGGGAAGGAGGACTTCGAACTTACTTTGGCAAATTAAAAACAAATCCACTCATTCATTCATTCATTCATTCATTCAACAAATATTCAGTAAGGACCTACTATGTGTCAGGAACTGGACTGTGTGCTGGGAATACAATGCTGAGCAAAAACAAATGGGTTCCCTCCATCACAGGACCGAGAGTCTAATGGGAGACAGACAACTTCATCATTCAATAAATGTATATGGAAAGTATGAACTATCAAAGTCCTAATACAGGTGCAACATTAATGAAAAAAAACAATTAAATCAACACTTAAAAATATTATGTGGTCTTCGAAACCCAGACGTAGCTAGCTTTTATTACACAAAAAGATCTTTCATACTCTTCTGGAGAAAAAGGATTAAAATGGATATGGGAAATCATTTTCTCAAATCTATTTAATAGATGTGATTTGTGATTATTTCCTCACTTAAGGAAGATCAATGCTTAAATATATATACAGGGGCGCCTAGGTGGCTCAGTTGGTTAAGCGTCCAACTCTTGGTTTGGGCTCAGGCCATGATATTGTGTTTGTGAGTTAGAGACCCATGTTGGGCTCTGCGCTGACAGTGCAGAACTTGCTTGGGATTCCCTCTCTCTCTCTCTCTCTCTCCTCTCTCTCTGCCCCTCCCTCCCTTGCATGCTCTGTCTCTTTCTCTCTCTCTCAAAATAAATAAGCTTTTAAAAATACATATAAATATACATATTTATATTTATATTAGTGTCTCTACATCACCTGAAACATGGTATGTTCATACAGGTTTCTCGAGAACAAAGATCTTTTCTATCTCACTGCTGTATCCCCAGCACTTAGAACACTGCTTGCCACATATTAGACCGTGTTTGACATTTTATGAATGAATGAATGAATGAATGAATGAATGAATGAAAGAAAAATAGGGGCTGAAACAGCTAAGAAGAATGAGAAGAATAAACCGGCCCAAAGCAACAGCGTGAACTATGTACACTGATAAGACTCAGTGCACAGCTCCACGCGCCAGCGCATCTGACTTTCAAACCCACTTTAAAGGATCCCAAACTCTTCAGCTGGGCCAATGCCGGCTGGCACAGAATTAGATCATCGGTCTAGGTTTTAATTCTTCCAAATTAAGAGAGTGCCTAGAGGAAGTCAGCGATGTGAAACGCCAGCCTCCGTTCCCTTCCCAGATTGCTGGGTTGGTCCCCTGCTCGTACTCGAGCTGCCTGTGCCCGCTGCTCCCACCGCTACGCCAGCCAGCAGCCACCGGACCTCTCCCTCAGGCAGCCCCACTCGACACCCTCTGGTGGCTTGCCGTGGCTTTCAAAATAAAACCCAAGCCCCTCCCTCCCCCCGCCCCCTCCGGCCACATTAATTTCCTTGTTGTCTTTCAAGGTCTCAGGGCAATGGCAATTTCTATTGTATCCAGTTGGAACAATTGGCCACAGACCTTCCAACAGCTTCTCACTTTAACTCTCAAATCTAACAGAACGTATCAACTCCCTCAGGCTCTATCCACTTTCCCTGTTTTCCCCCCATGGCGTTAATACATTATATCACTCGATTGTTTGTCTTCCCCGTTAGAATGTCAGCTCCTAGTTTCCGGTGCCTGCAGGAGCTAAATACATAATAGTTAACCCAGACAGTCAGCCAGCTTTCCATCATCAAAGGTAATGCATTTATGGAGCAAGTGTCACCACCGTATCCTACTGTAAAAGCCTATGCTGCAGTTCTCATATGCTATGATTAGATAACACGCATTAAAATTCTGAAAACAAAACTCCATTACTGAAGTCAAAACAGATTCTTTCCAAGAGATGTCCTAATGATCAGTGATACAAAGCAATAAAATACGATACTGAGCTAAGATCTACAGAAAATATGAAGCCTTACATTTATAGCATAACACAGAAGAAAAGGGTTTCAGAAGAGCAGTCCAGAAGCGCCTGGGGACTCAGTCGGTTGAGGATTGAACTCTTGATTTCAGTTCAGGTCATGAATGCTGTGGGATCAAGCCCCACATCAGGCTTCTGCGCTGAGTGTGGAGGCTGTTTAAGATGCTCTCAATCTCTCTCTCTGTCTCTCCCCCTTCCCTTCCCCTGCCCCTCACCCCACACGCGTGCTCTCTAAAATAAAATTAAAAAAAAAAAAAGAAAAGAAAAAGAAAAAGAACAACAGCCCAACAGTGAAAGTTAGAGGTAATTCTGAAATGGGCAACATGCATTTGTTCCAGAGATAAAAAACAAAACTAGCAGACGTAATCTCAGGAGAGTTATACAATGGTAACCTATTAAATACTTTTTTTTAAAAATTTTTAATGTTTATTTGTTTTTGAGATAGAGAGAGACAGAGACAGAGTATGTATCAAGGAGGGGCAGAGAAAGAGGGAGACACAGAATCCAAAGCAGGCTCCAGGCTCTAAGCTATCAGCACACAGCCCAACGCGGGGCTCGAATCCACAAACTGTGTGATCATGACCTGAGCCGAAGTCGGATGCTCAACTAACCGACCCACCCAGGCGCCCCTGAGTCCTCTTTTTAATTTGCATGTTCTCCTCCACACAATTATTAGGAAAAGGATCAAAAGGCAAAATTGTATTTCAAAACACACAAAAGCCCACAACATCGAATAAGAAAAATGCTTTTCCGTTACACAGTGCTCCTGAGGTATGGAAAGATGGAACAAAACTATGAAAAGGTAAGTTTGGAAAACTCATTCTGGAATCAGTTTCATTGAACAAAACAAGTCTACCGTGCATCAATTTACTCTGTCTAAACATATAAAAAACTTTCAGAAAATAATGAATTATTAAAAAATAACAGATACTCTAGAAACATCCCAGCTTTGACAAACAAATATTTAAAGCCACACACACACAACTTGCCAAACACAGGACCTTGAGCTCTCTGCTTAGCAGGAGTTAATGTACATTTAACAAGTCACTGCACACTTAAAGGCCATGATAAGAACTGCGCGTATGCACGTGCCCCCAACACACTTGTATGTTGAAACCCTAACCCCCAGTGCGATGCTATTTTGGAAATGGAGCCTCTGGAAGGCCTTTTAGGCCTTGAGGGCTGGGACTTGCACCCTTGTGAGAAGAGACAGGAGAGAGCTTGTTTCTCTCTCTTCACCATGTGGGGACATAGCAAAAAGGCAGCCATCTATACAAACCAGGAAAAGGGCCTACATCACACACAGAAGCAGCCAGCATGTTGAACCTTTGAACTTCTCAGCCTCCAGAACTGTGAGGAATAGGTGTCTATTGTTTAAGCCACTCTGTCTATGGTATTTTTGTGACAGCAGCCCCAATGAAGAGCACGTACAATACACTGAACAATAATGTCAAGAAAATTATACTGTTAAATGAAAAAGAAAATCACGTGTATTCTGCGTGAGTTTCAGGTTTCTGATGTTGAACATTTTCCAAAATACTAACAAAAATCATAGAGCAAGGATGGCATGTTCAATTATAGTGTACAGGAATTTTCTACCTGGACAAAATTTTTGAAGTCTCATGCCAATACAGGCAAAAAGACAGAGAGGACGTGACTCCCTCAGCCGCACTCGAACAGAGTTGTTACGTGGGGTCCATAAAACCTGGAGAGAGCATACAGGTCTAGAATTTAAGAAAGCAAAGATGTTTGGTGAAAGCACATTAGGGGAAACACTTAATAAGATTTCTTTTTGGGAGCGCCTGCCCAATTGCTCTGTATTGGAGGAAATGAACAAAATCCTTCGACACTTGAACCAGATTCAAGAACAATAAATAGCCTCTTGTCACATTATTTCAGTGTCTTCTCGTGCTCTGGGAAACTAGACAGGACCCATCAGGCAGATCTCAACGCATGGGGTACTGGGTAGTGTCAACTCAGTTAAGGACAGGCTTATTTGGGGGTATGTTTAATACCCAGTCTTAAAGACTTCTCCAATCTTCTCTCTGTGGGCATCGTTCAATAAGGAATCAAACTAAAAGTACCATTTAATTTCCCATCTACAATGATTTAAATGCCTTTATCAAACAAAACCCAGAATTCCACATGTTACTGAAACCCCATTAGAATTTTTTAACAGCCCAAACTAGACAGAATATGGGACTTAGACTTCAGGAAGACATATGGGGCCCTGCCAAGCCATTTTAACTTCTCTGAGTGCCGACCACACATGTCAAGAGAAACATGAGACATGTCTATTGGATTAGGGGCTTGCTGTGAAAATTAAATGAATAACGTTTTAAGAGAGACGAGGAAAGTGAGGCTTAATCAGTAACTATTTTTAAAAGTGGGGCAAGCAGAGTTAAAGCCACCTACCCTAGGCCAAAAAAGGTTTATTGTTCTGACTCTTTCCTTTCCCTGGGGTAGGATTCCTGGAAAGGTTTTCCACTTTTGCCCTTTCCATGGCTAAGATGGGAGAAGTAACAGGCCTTCTGCATCAGGCTGTTGTAAGGATCAAACGGGTTAACGTACATGAAAGCATGAGAAAAACAACAAAACAACAATCATGTGGGGAGAAAACCCATAAAGCTTCATTCTTGATAAAATAAGAAAAAAAAGTCAAGCAGGCCAAAAAAAAAAAAAAAAAGATAAGAAAAGAAAGAAACTATCATTTCTGATCTCCTGGCATAAAGAAATTTGGTCTTTGTATAATATGCTTCCAACACTAATCACACCTCATATTAATTACTGCGCGGCTGCCTCCTCACTAAACTAGCACTTTCTTAAAGACAGGAAACATCAGCTTTGGTTTCTCAATGGCTAAAACCATGTTCAGGCATAAAACAGATGCTTGGTCGGTGCTCGCCAGATTTACAGTACGCTCTGTTTATCCGTCCTGTTACCCAAGAATATATTCAGAAGTAGAAGAATTACCATTTTCCTTCCGTAATCTTGTTATGAACTTCTTAGGAGGAATCACCCCAACCTTCTTCTTCTGAGTGGCTATGCTATGGAAGAGGTCTGCTAGGCAGGTAAGAAGGTTCTCCTTCTTCCTAGGTTGGCTCTTGTAAGCTAGAACTTTTTCCCGAAATGGACGACAAAAATAAAGTGCTTGAAGAACTGAATTACAGTAGCAGGTATTCCCAAACTAGAATAGAAGAAAAAAAAAATCTTGTTAAATTCGGGGCAGCATACTTTCAGGAGAAAGAATTTCTACATGTACAATTAAGAGAACAGAGAGAAGACAGGGAATTTATGATCCTCATAAATTAAAAGGTATCTGAGAGTAGAAATAATTATTCTGATTGCAAAACTGCCTTTTTAACATTAAATGGATGCTCTAGGCACTGGTTTCAGGCTAAAATGGAAGGAAAACAGATGCAATACATGCGGCCTTTATGAAAACGAATTTAAAAAATTGTATCGTTTAAACAGTGAAAGTAGTTAAGGTTTAGAATTTGCGTAATTTTTTCTTCTTCAATTCCCACTGTTACTATATTCTGGTTCAATGCTAGCCATTTCATATAAGACACATTTTAAAATACAGCTCTCAAGAATTCTTTAAAAGAAATGCAAAAGTAAAGTTTTCTATCCGATTCAAGAAATAAAAACAAAAAGCAAAGTCAAATGAGATCCTCTGAAATGTTACATTAAAAATCATCAGCAGGACGCCTGGGTGGTTCAGTCAGTTAAGCATCTAACTCCCAATCTTGACCCATGTCGTGATCTCACGGTTGGTGGGACTGAGCTCTGCATCGGGCTCTGTGCTGACAGCATGGAGCCTGCTCAGGATTCTCTCTCTCTCCCTTCCCTTCTGCCCCTCCCCAGCTCACCTCCTTCTCTCTCAAAATAAATAAACTTAAAAAAATTATCAGTGTGCCAGCATGCCCCCCCAACAAAATGCTGAGATGCCAGGTCACATCATTTTTGATATGTTATAGATGGACCACAGTGTAGAGTTAAATCCCCAACTATGAGGGGCACCTGGGTGGCTCAGTCGGTTAAGCTCCGACTTCGGCTCAGGTCATGATCTCATGGTTTGTGAGTTCGAGCCCCACATCAGGTTCTGTGCTGACAGCTCAGAGCCTGGAGCCTGCTTCTGATTCTGTGTCTCTCTCTCCTCTGCTACTCCCTTGCCTGTGCTCTGTCTCTATCTCAAAAAATAAAGATTAAAAAAAATTTTTTTTAAATCCTATGAACCCACCTCCTCCTTCCGGCCATATGATGTGGACTGTGTAACTAAAGCTTACTGAACTTCAACTTCCTCCTCTTTAATAATGGGGGAAATAGTCCTACCTTAAGAGAAACTGACACATAGTTTGATAAATGCCTGTTGTCTTCCTTTTCCCTCCCCACTAATAGACACTGGCCCCCAAAGTCAGCTGACCAAACACCCAAAAGCCAGTGAGGACTTGGAGGGGGGTATCTTGAAAGTGTAAAAAAGGAAAGAGGACACTTGTCGCAGCGCCACCACGCAGTGAAGTCACACGCACACTAACCTAACAGGCCGGCGGAGAAGACTTTTTTTTTTTTAATTTTTTATTTATTTCTGAGAGAGAGGGAGACAGTGTGAGCAAGGGAGGGTCAGAGAGGGAGACAGAATCTGAAGCAGGCTCCAGGCTCCGAGCTGTCAGCACAGAGCCCGACGCGGGGCCCGAACCCACGAATCATGAGATCATGACCTGAGCCGAAGTCGGACGACCAACCGAGCCACCCAGGCGCCCCAGGAGAAGACTTTTAAGAATGCGCAATGTCAAATGCAAGTCCACAGACACACACATATGTTTCCACTTAAAGACCAGGAAGGATCAATTAAAAGCTAATAAAAATAGTTATAGGGAAAGAAGGAGGAGTGGAGAGAATTCAAAGCATATTTTTAAAAACGTCTGCTTTGCATCCATTTTTTAAAAAACGAAATTAAGCAAGAACCCAGAGGAAAAAAAGAAATTCCTAAAACTGAAAGGAAAGAGGTCAGTGAAACCTAAATGTTTCTCAAGTTGGTGATAGAACTACACAAAAAATTACTTCAAGCAACTTTAAAACACAGAATCTTTATTACACACGCCTACTGAAATGGTTTAAGGATAAAAAGAAAAAAAGAAATCTTAAATGGCATCCAGAAGTCACACTGTTAGAATTAGTCTGTTAACATTGTTATTCTGAAACTCGTATAGACTTCTGTAGGACAAAGCAAAGACTTATATTAATATCCTTAGGAAGCAAAATTATTAAGGCGAAGGGAAAAAGATATAGCAATAAAGAGTAAAAGCCTTGTAAACTTAAATTGGAATTTTAAGTATCACTACAAACTTATGTATTTCTGCAAGCGTGTTTGTGTGCGCACATGCGCTTCTGTCCACTGAAAAGGCAGGCCCAGCGCAGCAGTTAAGTTTCCTTAGCACACAGACTATAGTCTCTAAAAACCTTTTTCCTGTAAAAAGGAACCAGGATGCCTTGCAGATATGGCTATATAGGGTCTGGGACTGGAAATATACAATTGTAGAGTAGCGTGGAATATCTTTTTGTGTAGATTCAAGAGGCAGCTTTATTCAAAAAGAAATACTGCAACTGACAAGAAGCATATTAACTACATAAAAATGTATGAAAAGTCACATTTTCAAAAAGAGACCTTCAGGGCGCCTGGGTGGCTCAGTTGGTTAAGCATCCAACCTCAGCTCAGGTCATGATCTCACGGTTTGTGAGTTCAAGCATTGTGTCGGGCTCTGTGCTATCAGCTCAGAGCCTGGAGCCTGCTTCAGATTCTGTGTCTCCCCCTCTCTCTGATCCTCCCCTGCTCACGCTCTGTCTCTCAATAATAAATAAACGTTAAAAAAAGAGAGAGAGACCTTCAATTAGTTTCCATGGAAGTTGTAAACTAATATATAAAAGGAAAACATCAAAGTTTCCTCTTGTCTTTCTTGTAAGAACCATATTCCAGAGGGCTCTAAATAGTTGATGAAAGAAACTCTAGCTCTAATCCCAGCTAATAAATTCCAAAGAACTGATTGTACATAATGGATTGGGCAATAATGATCAATGGATACTAAGAGCATTGAAGACTGAGGGACAACTTCATAATGACCCGAACCCTCAGTGCATTCCAGCATCATTAAAAAAAAACAACCAAACTCACTTTTATGTCTCCTATAGAAATATGCAGCAACTCTTATGAAGTGTTCTTGTCTTAAAAAACAGAACCACCACACTATCCACTATCTAGACCTAACTACCAATTTACAAGATACTCAAACAAAGAAACGCGTTAAACAATACCACAAAAAAGGAACAGAACATGAGGCCCAATGAGGATAAATGATTTTTACATTCATCTAGCTGGTCAGAGCCAAGAAGTTGTTTCATGAAAACAGATGCTTTATAAAAGAAGTAGAAAAGTAGATGATGCATTGATACTATTGATAAGTGTAACCATGGATATACTTCCATAAAGCCTATCCAGGGGCTAAGCACACCTGCAGTAGAACGTATAATATTGAGATTAATTTACCGATTATTCATTAGTCTAAAACAAAACTAGTATTCATCCCACAGTCTAATTGACGCTAATGACCAACAAAACTATACCTCTGTCAATTAAAGGGAAGATTCTATCTCCACAATTTGGTCATTTTTATTAAAGAATAAGCAACAGGGACTCTAATGACTTCCACAGAGGAAGTAGATTAAAAACAAAAGACAGCATCTCACAGCATACTAGAAAAATTTATGATAATTAAACTTGACTTATAAAAAAGCAGCAAATGGGATAAGCAAAGGAAGCGGAGGGAGTCTGTACTTTGTACAGAATGGTGGAAGGCAGCCTGTTCCCTGCTCATCTTCTGAATATAAAGCAATAGGCAACATTACAATCCATTATGTGATGTCTTCTCTTACAGCCTTGCACTTATCTTCATCAATTCCATTAAAGAAAAAGTAAAGACTGAAGCTACTACTATTTCTCTAGAATGAGGAATCATGGGGCGCCTGGGTGGCTCAGTCGGTGGAGCGTCCGACTTCAGCTCAGGTCATGATCTCATGGTTCGTGGGTTCGAGCCCCGCATCGGGTTCTGTGCTGACAGCTCGGAGCCTGGACCCTGCTTGGGATTCTGTGTCTCCCTCTCTCTCTGACACTCCTCTGCTCATGCTCTGTCTTTCTCAAAAATAAATATTGTTAAAATTTTACAAAAGGGGCACCTGGGTGGCTCAGTTGGTTAAGCGTCTGACTTCACCTCAGGTCACGATCTCACAGTTCATGAGTTCTTGCCCCATATCAGGCTCTGTGATCAAAGCTCAGAACCTGGAGCCTGCTTCGGATTCTGTCCCAAACATGAGTGTAACTTTCGACTCTGCAAAAACTTAAACTAAAAGACTACTGTTGACTGGAAGCCTTACCAGAAAAATCGGTTGACACGTATTTTGTATATGTATTATATACTGCATTCTTTTACAATAAAGTAAGCTAGGGGGAAAAATGCTATTAAGAAAATCATAAGGTAGAGAAAATACATATACAGTACTGTATTAAAAAAAAAATCCATGTATAGATGGACCTGGGCAACTCAAATCCATGTTGTTCAAAGGTCAGCTGTAGAACAAATGTGATGAAGACAAAGTAAATATTTTAAATTGTCTTACTTGGCATTAATTTTGTTTTCACTAAAACTTACTAATGCTGAAGTGAGAGCAATGAAATGGAGGATGCCTTCGGGTAAACTGTGGGTTATACAGGGATTGATAAACTGACTGGGTTTCTGCTCAGTTTATCTTACGAGCTATCAAAGACTCATAGCTACGGAGAGAGGTGCAAGTGGGGAAGTTCTCTATGGCCTTACTTTACTTTCTAAAATACGACATTAAATCTCCAACCCGACCACATAGGTTTGAACTCGCCTGCGCAAGCACCTGCCTTGGGAGCAGCGCAGCCCGGTAATAGAGACACCAGCTCTGAACTTGAACTGTCCAGCCTCAGGCTCCCTTCCACTACCTAACCTTGGGAAATGACTAAACCTCTCTGCTCATCCATTTCCTCACCAGGGCATGTGGTTTACAGCACAGCACCCGCCTTGTAAACCCTAGTTGAGAATTAAATTCACAACCTGCACGGAGCCCTACGACAGTTCCCAGCACTCGGTCACTGTGCTGTGATTGTTC